CTTGATCTTGCTATTTTTGAATAAGTCTGAAATATCATTGGACTCAGTCGGTGAACAAGCTCTTTTAGACAAGATCTGTTTTTTTATAGAGATTTTAGATGTAAACTCTGCATCTTCTACAGGAGATTTACTATTAGGTGTGTGCTCCTCCTTCGATTTTTGTGCATTTTCTTCTCTTAAATGTTCTGCTTCGTATTCCTCAAAGGTTTGTTGATGACGTCGCAGAAGGTGATTCCTAAAAACATTTTTGCTAAAAGCTCTATAAGAACAAATGTTACAGGAGTAGATTTCAGAGTCTTCGTTCTGGATCTGATTTCTTACAGTAATAACAGTATGCTGCATAATGTTATGTCTCCTAAGATCAGTTTCACTCATAGTCCTGTAGCTACATTTGTCACATCTAAACTTTCTCTTGTCCTTCTCGTGTGTTTTGGCATGTTGAACAAACTTGTTTGGGCAGTTTGTACCAAATGGGCACTGAGGGCAGAAAAGATTATTTTTATCCTCTTTCTTCTTATCATTCATGCGTTTGATCTCCTTAGCGAGTCTTGCCGTTTTCTCCTTGTGCTTGGACATGTGCTCAATAAGCAAACCACTTTGTTTGAAGGACAGTCCACATTCTCGGCATATAAAAAGCTTTGGCGAAATATTCGGCGCGTCAACGTGACACTTCATGTGACGATGTAAATGATGTTCTTTCTTGAATACAAGCTTACATTTTGAGCACGGGTAGCATAATGGCTTTTCCTCAGAATGAGAATTGATGGTAAGTCTTCCCTTCAATGGTAAAAGCCCATGACCTATACTGTTCTCATTGGAATTTCTGGCAGGTGGATTGTAAAGAATGTCCTTGATGGACTTGACTGTTCCATTAGGATACTTTGTAACTTTACTTGATAGAGATGACTCTGACTGGGGAAGGTTCCTTGACTTTCTGAATTTTCTGAATGGAATGGAATCTACGTGATCTTCAGCATCAGACAATTCCTCAGGTGACTTGTGGCTCAGATTGGGGTAAAGGTCCTCTGAGGGATCCACCATGACAACCATGTCCATTTTCCGTCTCCTTGTCTTTTGGCTGTTGGAAGTAGGGTCTTCATCTTTATGCTCCTCACCAGGGGAATCCCCATGGTTCTCCCACAGAAACTGCATGAACTCTTTGTGAGGGTCCCAATGAAGGTCACTGGCATTACTAAAATCATCCAATGAGTTCTCCGGAGAGTCTTCATCAAAACCCCAAATTCCTGCAGTGTCAATTTCCTGCACCGTTTTTAATGGGGTGATGCTCTTTGTCTCCTCCTTCTCAATAGAGATGCTGTTGAGTTCATGGGCTTCTGTAGCCTGGTGCGAAGGTGGTCCATTTCCCAGGCCACCCGGAGACAGCATATCTGTGTTCGACAAAACATCTAGGACGCTGTTTTGTTTCGAAGAAGGCTTGCCGTAAGAATTGGTGCAAGATGCGGATTCTTGGGCCATTCTCACTGGTTCTTGCAAGAGTGTGAGGGCGTTGATTTCATGATCTGCATCTTTGTCGTCTTCATCAACACCGGTCCGACATGACATTTCAGCTGCCATGACCTGAAAAAATAAAAGTAAAGCCTTCTTAGATATTCCTTAACCAAAAGTAACTACAAAATCCAGTTATCACTGTAGCTTCTCAAAGGTTACATAAAAACCTTCATCACCTTTGGTGGCTTCTCTGGCCCTGCACAATAACAAATAACTGATCTTAGTAGGGTTGTTGCCTTTGAATCTTTTGTACGTATTCTGAAGTTTAAAATGTTCCTCTGTAATGTCCTTGGGAGATTTTGACTTGATAGCTTCAAACTGTTCAAATGTGTGGTGAGGTATTGTGCATTTGTATGAATGTACTGTGTTATTAGGCATTGAGAACAAAAAACACAGACAGCTCTGTGTAAAATCAGCCTTTTGGGGGGTATGAGTAGTTTAGTACCGGTAAACAATAAAATACAAGGAAGTCCAGTTCCAAAAAAATATTAATGCGTTTAATGGCTTATCAAATGCCAAAAGCCTGCAAATAGTTTGTAGTACTCACAGAGAAGATTTTACAACTCTGACATTTTAGAAACCATGTTGTATATTTTTATACGGATTTGGAGGTCAACAGTAAGGGTTTGTGCTAGCAAGAAATCAAATAGAAATGTGGGCTTGCACCCTGCATTGGTAGAGGGACAGGCTCCATTCAAACTAATAAAAGTGCTCTAGTTAATGCGAACATGAAACGACAATAGGCACGTTTTGTTCACTGGAAAGTGAATGTGTTCACAGTAAGTCTCGAAAATAAACTAAAGCTTAATTAATCTAGCAATGCTGGGCTGCTGCGTGAAAATGTGGCCTATAGTTCTGGTAATTTTTTGGGCCTGAATAGATGAGCAGTTTAAAATGTGTTTTACACCAGCCCAGCTTTACACAGTTTAATAGTAAAATAAAATGTGTGTATATTTATTCAAACAGTTTTTGTCATCATTACTATCTGAAAAAGAATGCAAACATTACGTGAAAAAGGGATGTTGATTATTTCTGGAATAAGGTATATTTTTCATAATAAAGCATTAACCAATCACGTTGTACCAAATTGACATAACCAATGGTTTTCCCGGGGGGAAATCAAGTTCACGAGCATTTTGCTTAAAGTTAAGAGCTTGAGCTAAGCTGTTGAAAACTTTTATTGAACCATTGACGCAACGTTTGCTAATTTGTTTTAATGTAAACGATTAAAAAGGAGAATATTTAGCAATTTCTTGTTGTTTATTTGTCCCTCCCTGGTGTGTAAAAGCCTTTAACCTTGATCATTATGAACCTGAAATATTAAAATATGCATTTTTACATTTATTTTGTAATTAATCAAAGTGCCCAATTAAAAAGGGTTTGCTTTGGTCATTGTTTCACCACATCGCATGGCCTAAAATTAACAAATAGCAGTCACCATGTAGTTTATATTGCACTTTAGCGCAAGCAGACACTCACTGCAGAGGAAGTAATCCGGATTTAGTATAAGGGAAAAACAAATAGTCTATAGAAGGAGTCATTTTTTTCTCTCGAGTGTAATGAGCATCGCAGCCACTAGAAACTGCTAGAATGGCAACAAAAAGTTGTTGTTTAAGTTTAAGTTTAAAAAAGAAAATGGGGAAGAAATGGTTGGATAGGGAGAGACGATTAGTTTTTATTTTGCAACTATTTCAAAATAGTAATCCCAGCTAGCTGTTTTTTTGTGTAGCCTATTGTGATAGTAAACCTTAGATTAAAGAAATGGTAAGGTTTTTTTTCACTGTTCACATTTTAGCATCCAAGAGGTCAAGCAGAAAATGGCAGATTTTTCAAAATGTAACATAGTCATAAACTGTAGTTCTTAATACAATCATGAATCAGTGATGGTTAAGATGTTTAATCATCTAGCTAAGATTATAAAACATTTAAAACGTTTAGAATGCTGTGGTGAACAACAGTGAGATTTATGTTTCAAGTCCAATATTGGAATGCTTTATAAAGCTACAATAGGTCGTTTTTGAATTGATTAGAATGAGTCTGTTTGATGTAAAAAGTAAACCATTTAGTTATTTGCATTGTCATCAGAGTTAGATTATTTACTCAACCAGCAATCATTGATTACAATATCAATATATCTAATTAAAATATACTTGACACTTGCTCTGATGATTAATCGTTGCCATTTATAATGCTACAAGGTCGTGGTAGTGAGAGGTCTTGCATTTGAAGGGCAATAAAAGTGTCATACCAAGTGAATGCTCCTGTGTGAGATTTGTTTCTAACAACACAGCAGCACTGAAAATGCAAAGAGATGGACCTCGGAAATGGCTTATAATAAGCGGTTGTGGATATTGTACAGAGCTAAAACTTTCAACACAGTAGTTCAGTTATATGCCAACCTACAATAGTTGGAGTATGTTTCCAATGCTATCTTAATAGAGGGCAAATTGTATCATTTATACCAAGTCCCATAAGGGTATCGTTGCATTTATTTGACGTTTATATCACGCTATGTTGTTGGATGCTGCTTATGGGAGCTGCAGACCATTCCATTAAGGCTGTTCCACACCAAAACCTATTCTTCAAGCTAAACTATAGCTATTGACAACCGTTTCACGCTATTTACGCAACAGACATGAATAACATGACGAAAAACAAACAAACGTTACCTCCGAGCGGTGCAGATGCAGACAGGGCGCAATTTAAACGATGCATTGAATAATTTCTTACTTTCGTCTTCCATCTATTTCACAGTCGCCATTTTCCGTGGTGGTCTGGTGTGGGACAGATCATTTATTTTGTAAGGGTAACCATACATACAGTTGTCTCCACAGTAACAAAACAAATACATGCTTCACATATTGCGTTAGTAGTGGAACTATTTTATAAAATAGTAATAGTAAGGAAGTTATGCAAGTTATGGTCTTGTATATTTTCGTCATGTAATGTTACGAGTCGGCGCTATGTCCCCCCGAAAGATTTGTAATGGTTCAGTCCAGATAGGAGGAATAAAAAACCTGAGTTAATGCCCATCTCCTTTGAGTATCAGATTTTGTTGTAGGTGACGGCGGTGTAATCGTCGTTGTAATTGATAAAATGAATTGAAATCTCACTTAATAATAGTTTTTTGTTTTTTTTAAAGAACATATTTTTGTTTGCTATGTGAACTTGTCCTTCACACACAGACAATACTTGTTTGCCAACACAGGAGAGATGTTACACTATCCCCCAATGGTTGTATTCTTATCACCGGTCTTTGTTGCTTTCGCGGCCGGTTAAGTTATTCACAGTGACGTGTGTTTTAAACTGAAAATACACCTTCAACATAGAAAAAAATTAATTTCAAAGTAGCATTTGTTCTAGTTTGGCAACTTATATTTTAATGAGAACAACAAGCTACAGCTGATATTTTTTATTTTAAAAAACAGCATTGTTTATATTAATATACTACTTAATATTGTTGTTATTGAACGCAACATGGTATTCGGCGCTGTCTAAAATGTCAAATGTGGCAAGTGAGGTCAATGTTTAACAACTGATTTGTAATGTCCCTGGAATACATTTAAACATTGACACAGGTAAGTTCACTGCTAGAAAATAGTACAGATAACTTTCATATAGGTAATTAGTTAAACTGATAGCCTTTGTTTAAATGTCTTCATATTTTAATATTGCTAGCTGGTTGTTCAGTAGCTAAGGCCTTAGCTTAAGCTAGCAAAGCCACATTTGTTTCACTCTTTTAGCCTGAAAATGTAGTTACTTAATATTTAAACTGAGATACTAACTACATTAGTCATAATGGAATGTACATTGTTCATATGTCTTGGTTCAGCAGGTGGTTTTCTTATATAGCATTCAGGTATGTCAGATGTTAGTGGAGTAGAAGTACAAAGTAACATAAAATGGAAATGCTCAACTAAAGTACAAGTACCTCAAAATTGTAATACAGTACAAAAGTACAGTATTTGAGTAAATGTACTTAGTTACTTACCACCTCGGTATTTGTAAGTAGCTATACTAAATGCTTAAGTTCACATTAAATCAGCAGTAAGATTGCTTACAGTATTTTTATGAAAGCCATACATTTATTAATACTCTTTTGTGTGTCGAAACATATCATGTATAAACTCATTTGGAAAATTAATTTAAATATTAGAAGAGCGCTTTGTTGTGTTAATTCAGACAACTACAAACGTTTAAAAGCCTCAAAGGTTGCAGCAACTATGGTGTTTTCCTCTCATTCGACCTTTAAATAAATCTCAGCCACAGAAGTAATATTGTAAAGAAATAGCTTCTCATTTATTGCTTTGGTATTGCATCTATAAAAGTATGTTTGGTTTGTTTCCTTGTTCAACCATATATCACCATTTACCCATAGTGATTGATTGGCATTGCCCAGCTTTGCGTTCACATGTGTGCAGGCCTCTGGGACCTGATGAGATGTTGGACTCCGATGACTGCACCTTGTCCCTGGACAATCTGTTTTTTGAGAAACCCATTGTCCACAAAGTGTGAGTACAAATAGATGCCCCATTTTATCAGCATCTTTCCTCTCACAGCTGAAGCATTTTTCTTCTTTCTGGATTGTATTTGACAGAAAGCCACTGCACCAGGAGGTCAGCCCATGGCACCTGGACATGCCTCCGTCTCTTTCTCAGGTCCCAGCCACTCAGGATATGCAGAAGGAGGCAGAGTCTCTCTCTTCTCTATACAGTATGTTGTGCTCTGGATTAGAGTGAATTCCTTTTCACTTGACTTGAGTAAACTGCGCAGTATCTGGTCTACTAAATTTAACTGTATGACTCACTGATGCAAAAGCTTAAAAAGGCTTGATAGCTTTCCCAATTTTCCATGGTTTGCATAAACAAACCGGGTTCTGGGTCTTATGATATATTCTCATAATCGTATGTGTAACTGAGCTACAAAACAGAGCTAGCCAGCTAACCAATCAGAGCAGACTGGGCTCTGGTTTCAGACAGAGGGTGAAAAGAGGTGCTGCAGCACAGGCAGTATGAGGAAAATAAAGAGCTTTTTGAACATTAAAGCATGGAGACATGTCACAGTAGAGGCACTAAATACAAAGATGAACCTGAACAATGAGCATAATACATCCTCATTAAAGATGTCACCAAATGATATCTACCTCCTACTTTGTAACAGTATATATAACTATGTTTTCCTTCTTTAAAATGACTCAGGTTTCCCACAAATACCCAAGCCTTCTTTTAAAGGATCAGCTGGCTTCAAGGCTTTACCAGCAAAAATCAACAGTCCATACAATTATAACATTGATGAGAAAGAGAAGGATCAAACTCAGGATGGCAGAAATATCAGCACCAGAAGTGATGGCCTTTGGGGAGGTGAAGGCTTCTGGGATTATTCTCAGGATGTCTGCCATAGCGCCAGAAGTGGGGATGAAACCCCGCAGGAGCCTGGTCATGCAGCCATAAGCAGGAGGTGTTTGTCTCTTGACGGCAGCAAAAGTCCACCTCTACGGAGAAGGCAAGTGTCAGTTATCAAGACTATATTGTTTATGGATAGTCTCCCTTTTGTACATATTTTTGAAAGATGTGATGAAATCTGCACCTGGAGGCAGTAAAGGTTTATTATTCAAATTTTTTAACTGCCAATTATTTATACATGGCCTTGAGGCTGTAAGAAAGCAGGCCAAAAAGGATTTTGCGTCTTGGAGGCAGATGCAAAACATACATTTAATAAATGCTTAAATTAGCATGATTTCATATAATTAACTTTAATCAAATATACTTTAGGGAGAATCAAGTTGTTTTGCCAGACACGTTTAAACATACAAGGAATTTTCTTTCGTGCATAAGAAAATAAGTTGTAAGAGAAGGTCAAAAATATAACGAAACGAAAAAAAAGACAATACTTTACACCAAATGTAAATATAAAAAAATATATATAAAAAAATGTAGTACAATGAATAAATGACAATATGTGACAAACTGAAAAATAGTTCTAAACATTTTCAATAAAAGCAATGCATCCATTTTTGCTTTTTCTGAAGTGGGGACACTTTGAATCCCTTAAATGGTTGAAACCCATGATATGCTTAGTGAAAATGAATGTAAAGCACATCATGAAGAGATTCGCTTTTTCAAATCAGTGGACAATTCTTAAAGATAATGAAAAGATGCTAAATTGTCCCCCATAAACTCCAACGCAGCCTCAAAACTGGCAGTGCTCTCATTCTTCCTCCCTCTATCAATTCTTCATTCCCTCGCAAAACAGCTTGTTCAAGGTCCAGGTGTGGAACAGCGGAGGTGACTCGTCAAACAAACATGACCTCGGAAACAGCGGCAGCCAGACATCATCCAGACCTCAAACTTTTCTCAGGCCGGTTACCATGACGACAGCGCCTCTTCCTCCTCTTCATCTGCCAGGGGCGACAGTTAGGCAGGCGGCTCCTCCTTTCTCCCCAAACACCCACTTCCCTCCCCCTCCTCTGGTTTTCTCTGCAGTGAGCGGCCGCCCCCCGCAGCAGGCGGCACACGCTGAGGCGCAGGACAAGGGCACAAAGAGAGCCTTCGTTCCTCCCATGATGCCTCAGCCGCTTCACATACAAGGTGCAAACGCTGCGCCAACACAGTCAAAGACACTGTGTTCCTTACTGGTTCACCAACAATCACGTGTACATTTTCTGTAAAGTGCTGCAGCTAATGAGCATGCCCAGGTCGAGCCGCGGCAGCAGCTGCCACATTGTGTTTGTGTGTGATGAGGTGAAATGAGGTGAACTCCCCTCAGTGACCGCTCCATTGTAATGCAACATACTAGGCACTAGGTGGTGGGTTGAAAAACAGTAGAAGCTGTACAGAGTAACAGTAGTGCCTTTGTAAACACATACACTATCCAGCGTGTTTCCTTTTATTTTCAGTAATATCATATTATTTATTTATGGACCATAGACACATTTTAACTAAGTACATTTACTCAAGTACAGTACTTAAGTAACATTTTGAGGTACGTACTTGTACTTAACTGGAGTATTTCAATGTTTTGATACTTTGTATTTCCACCCCACTACAATTCAGAGGTAAATCATGTACTTTTACTCCACTACATGTATTGAATACATTTAGTTACTTCACAGATCTGGATGAATGAAGTGAAATATAATCAAGTGTTAAATCAGACTTTAGTTCCACCTGGAGTAAATTCACAAGCTACCCTGCAGTATACAAAGTCATTCAAACTAGCACTTTCATGATCAATCATTATAAAACATATCATATATATTATTCTGAACGGACCAATCTGCACAATGACTACTTTTACTTTTGGTACTTTGAGTATATTTTGATGCCAATACTTTTGTACTTTTACTTGAGTAACGTTTTGATTACAGGGCTTATAGTATTCCTGGTAGTTCTAATTTTACTTAATTACAAGATCTGAGTACTTCTTCCACCTCTGGACATGTTGACTGCAGGGGATGGGGATTAAACCGCTGACCCTCTGATTGGTAGATGCCCATTTTCCCCCTGAGCCACAGCAGCCCCATATTTGCATAAAAACACAGGAATAGTTGACATAAAAATATATTAAATGAACCACTAAGATAAGTAAGAAAAGACTAATTACTAAACAATTTCTGTCATTAAAAAGTACAAAAAAGATTTCTGCAGTTTTACTCAAGATTCACCAGAAAAAAAAAACTATCCATTTTAAACCCTGCAAAAATGTTAACATTTCCTATTTCCATCTTGACGGAATTAGCTAAATCTGTGAGATTTGACTGAAAAATAACGTGTGTAATGTTTTGTATTTTAGGGTCCTCTGGGTCTGGAGTTTTGAGACCAGTTTCTGAAATCCGTATCCTTTTTGTGGTTGGCAAAACAATATCAAATTGTTAAACTGTACTTGAATGCTTCTCCAATTTTGCAAGAAATGTGTTTTGAATCTCTCAATTTTCTGAACCATGCTAACACAGCAGCAAAGTTCAGATCCGTCTTCAAAGAGTTCCCCTTTTTCAACTACGTTCAGTCCAAAGCATTAGATGATGTAAGCATTATTTGAAAACCTCTATAAACACTAATCTGAGGATTATGAATAACATAACATGTATTTCTTGTCTGCTGTGTTCACAGGTTCTTTACACGGGTAACAACTTTGTGGCATGTGCCCCTACTGGATCTGGCAAAACGGTTCTGTTTGAGCTGGCCATCATCCGTCTGTTAATGGAGACCTCAGAGCCCTGGAATAACGTCAAAGCTGTCTATAGTGAGGATAATATTGTGTAAACCCTTTAAATACATCATCAAAGCTCAAGTCAGAGTAAATTTGGCCTAGAGTAAGGATTTATTGTCACAATATTTTTTGTTTCCAGCCTTAGAATTGGAAGAAACAATTTCCGACTAAGAAAGTTTGGAAGAATTCCTGAAAAAGTGTTATATTTTCCTAACTCCAAAGAATATAGAACTTGGTATATGTACTGTATATGTTTGTCTTACTTTATAACTGATTGAAAATATAAAACACAGATTTACTTTCCTATTCTATATAAACGTTGCCAATATGAACAAAGCATCTGTGTCAAAATTCTAGCATGTGGAAGAAATCCTATACTATGAAATACAGCCTTAAAGGTCCCATGTCATGGCCATTTCTACTGATCATAATTCCATTGTTGAGGTCTACTAGAATAGATTTGTATTGTGCAATTTTCCAAACTCACATTGGTTTCTCATACAGCATCTCTGTATAGTATGTGTATTCACTCTCTGTCCTAAACGGCTTGTTGGAGCTCCTGTTGTGACTGCAGACCGTCTACATGCAGAAAAACCTTCATAACACACAAGGTACGGGTATTAACCGGAAAACCATGACATGGGACCTTTAACAAAGTTAGTGAAGATCAACAGTGTTTCAACCCACACTCCTGATTAAATCATTCACTGGGGCTTTGAACATTTTTCTTCTGATTTGCTTTACTTTGAGTGTTTTGATTTTGGATTCAGTTCTAGATGTATGTGTTTCTGAGGAGCAGAGAAGTGTTTTGTAATAACACTCCCTGTGTGTTCTTGTCAGTGGCCCCCATCAAAGCGCTGTGCAGTCAGTGCTTTGAGAGCTGGAAGAAGAAGTTTGGGCCTCTGGGGCTGAATTGTAAGGAGCTGACGGGCGACACGGAGATCGATGACTTCTTCGAGATCCAAGACTCCCACATCATCCTGACCACGCCTGTGTGTGACACTACACTGCGTCCTAATTTAACAAATGCAACAATAAAATGTGATAAGAACTTACTTTTGAGTATTTCATGTTCTATTTCACTTTATTTTGACAGGAAAAGTGGGACAGCATGACCAGAAAATGGAAGGACAACTGCTTGCTGCAGCTGGTCAGGCTCTTCCTTATCGATGAGGTCAGATACTTTGTTTGCAGAGCCTGCAGCATCCAATAATGTTATACAGGGTTCCTTTAAAAGTCTTAAAAGGCTTTGAATTCATAAATGTATCATAAGGCATTAACTGCTATTGGAATAATATCAATATTTCTAAAGTCTTAGAGTAAGAGAATCCTTAATTAGTTCACCTGCAGTGTTACAGCAACAAAGGGTCTCGTACAACAAGAGGGATAAATAAATAACAAATAATATACAAAATGAAAATTTGAAAGTAGATATTTCAATTGCCATTATTATATAGTAATACTATAATGAAAAGCTTAGACATCGTCAGTCAAATCTTCAAATAATTGTTAATATCTATGTTTTAAATCTTCTTACTAATCTCTGGAGGAACCCTGTAATAGCTTTTCCAAAAATGCAATAACACCTGAACATGTTGATATATTTAAACCTGACCTGATCAAAAATCTCATTAAATGTCCTGAATGATATTGGAACAATGTGTTTACCAATCATTTAATATCTAATTTGTTCTCATAGATAATGTACCTTCAGATGGCTCTATTTTCAAAACTCATGATGTTATTAATGTTTTAGAAATGTGACTGTACCGTTCTTAACACAAACTGATGCTAGCTTTGCCTTATTAGAAAATAAATTAACAGGGGGATAAAAGGTGCCCAAAATGTTACTTTAAAAAGAAAAATCCCTTATGGCAATTTAATAAAAGCAAATGTTCTTCTTATGTCCAACCTAAGATCATTTCTAGTCTAATGGACCATCCTTTAACAACGAGCAATCAGCATGGCTATGGGCGGGTTCATTTTCTATTTCCAGGGATTTGACTTTTATCTCTTCCTGATAACAATGCAGCTGTTGTGAATTCCAAATTCTACGTAAAGCCTCAAGCTTACATTTCTAAACAAGAACATTCCAGTGGACATTTTCACACATACATTATAAAATTATCCTTCAAAATGATGACATCAGTTCTGAAAAAAGACCCACCTGGCAGGTATCACAATCTTTCAGGATTACATTTTGGTCACATCATGACATTATTGGGTCACTTTTATTTAGACTTCCAGTATATGATTACATCAGGCACTTATTTCCTGCACAGAGTTGGATGCTCACTGTGCACCAGAAGATTCACTGTCTACAGTGTGTTTTATTATGCCGCAGTGTGTGATGCCACATAATTACCCTCTGCCCTCAGCACTTCATTTCACTTGAGGTTAGTCATTAAAATGATAGTACATCATGTCCTGGGACTGTGTATTATGAGAATGCATAGGACCTGAAATACACCTTCTGATGTTAATAATGGAATACTGTGCTAAAATATAGCTTTATTTGATTCGACCTACATACCGACATCCCTGTGTTGAGCCTTTAAGGTAGGGGTGTCAAACTCAAGGCCCGTGGGCCATATCCGGCCCGTGACTTCATTTTCTGTGGCCCCACAAGATCTTGCAAAGAATATAATATGTTTATTATACGGTTACAATCCGATTTACAGAAGCACGTTCCCCATAAACTACATCTCCAACAATCCATCTCAAATTTGACTTTTTTCTCAGAATTTGACTTTTAAATGTAATTTCTTTTTCAAAATGTTTTTTTTTTTTTTTGTGACATTCTCACTGAAGATACTTGCAATTATTTGCTCTAGACTTCTGCTTTCAGATGTAGTTAATTATGAAGTTATTACCTTATCCAATAATAATCCAATGAAGAAGCAATAATGTAATATAATACATTATTTGATATATATTTAAATATGTATTTATGTATTTTTATATAGTCTTAAAGTTACAACCGGCCCTTTGAGTGCAACCATAATGTTAATGTGGCCCGTGATGAAATTGAGTTTGACACCCCTACTTTAAGGGGTCTTCCTAAGCCACCTGTGTAACGGCACGTTATTCCTCCAGGTGCATGTGGTGAAGGATGAGACCCGCGGTGCCACGCTGGAGGTAGTGGTGAGCAGGATGAAGGCGGTGCATGCCTACAGAACAGCACAGAATACAGAGACAGGCCTCTCCATGAGGTTTGTGGCGGTATCAGCCACCATCCCCAACGTCTCGGATGTAAGTGGCTGAGAAATGTATTTATGGCAAAAATAATTCAGCAGCAGGCAGCTTTCAAAGTGACATCAAATCTCTCATAATGACCAGGGTGTGATAGTAACCAGGATGCCAGGTTTCAATTAGCACATTTTTTTTAGAAATAGGCAACCAATTCTTTATCTTTGCCTTTTAACATATAAAAAAAATATATATATTAAAATATATTTTGCATTTCTGATCTTAAATATTGCTCTTACAATCAGGACCAGACAACTTGGCATGTGCGTTCGTGTGTCAACATCACAAAGGAATGTGCAAATTGATTCAAATGACAAAGAACCAGATAAACCCAAAAATTAAAAACCAAAATGATATCTTGAAGTTTTGGGAGGCAAAGTATCCCGACATCTTTGACATGACGTTTTTTTGGGTTACCGTAATGAAGATTTAATTATTTGATGTCACTTTTTTATTATTAAAATGACATAAATGCAAAGTATCTTGATATATAAATTGACTAGAAATGGCAACAATATTTTCAGTTTTGCCAACCAAGTGTTGATGCAATGCAACCACTTTTTAAAAGATATTGTTGAGTCCTGATGGTATACTTGACATAAGTAAGATTCGCATCTTAAGCAAGAATAAAAAAAAGTAGCAACTCAAAACTAAGTATCAACAGTTAAGAAAGGCGCATCTCTGAAGTACTGTACTTTAATTGATGGAAACAATTGTGTGTCTTTACTGTATTCCCATTGTAAATCAGCTGCTCTGCTCATTGTTTTGGCTCTAATGTTGTGTTGATAGATCGCAGACTGGTTGTCGGATGAGAGCGGTCCGGCCACATATCTGGAAATGGATGAGAGCCACCGTCCAGTGAAGCTGAGGAAGGTGGTGCTGGGATTCCCCTCCAGTCCCAACCAATCAGAGTTCAAGTTCGACCTGTCGCTCAACTACAAGATGGCCAACATCATACAGACGTACTCTGACCAGAAACCCACACTCGTGGTGGGAAAATCAAGCCAAATATTGTTTTTATTGGATAATATTATAATGTTATTATTGAAAATGGTGTAATTATATTTCTTCATAATCTAATAATGATGGTATTCTGTAGTTTTGCTCTACAAGGAAAGGAGTCCAGCAGGCAGCTGCAGTTCTGGCCAAGGATGCTCGGTTCATTATGAGCATTGAGCACAAGCAGAGGTACGTTTCTGACTTATCTATGACATGTTTTCATCTATTCATCAAACATTTGAGTTCAGTTTAATATAAAGCTTTAGCTGAAGTTGCTTGACTTTGTATCTGTTAAGGCTGATGAAGTATGCAAACTCTATTCTGGATTCAAAACTAAGAGGTGAGTGCTCTTTTGGAACCATGTCAAGAGCCAGTATATCAGAACATGATTGTGGCCTTCTTTTGAACTGTTGAACATTATTCTGAGGTCTGTATTCCAGATCTGGTGATGTTTGGAGTGGGATACCACCATGCAGGAGTTGACCTGTGTGATAGGAAGTTGATAGAAGAGGCCTTCACTGTGTCAGACCTGCCCGTCCTCTGTGAGTCCTTTTATCTTGTGCTGTATATAGAAGTCTGACTATATAAGTGTGCAGCACGATTATGTCACAATCTGTCTGTTTTATTTTGAAAAGTGTCCAGCCCCTGTGTTATGTCTGTTTTCACTTCCTGTGTGTTGTCCCTCCTGTTTGATTACCTGATTCTGTTCACCTGGTGCCTCTGTGTGTTGCCTTCCCTCCTCAGCTGTGTCTTGTCCTTGTGATTAGTCTTGCATGAGTTGAAGTTCTGGTTTTCTGTTTGTTGTTGTCGGGTCCTTGATATTTGATGTTAATGAGACAGAGTTCTGTTTCGTTTTTCTTTGCCTACCCAGCTCTGTTTATTCCTGGACAACTGGCTATAAAAGACTTTTCTTTTAAAGTTATTTTGGTGTCCTGCACTTGGGTCCTCCCTGCTCTTCTCTCCAGCATGATAGTTTACTTTCTGTTACGCTGCATACACAAACAGGAAAGACAAGTGCCACGGGTTACAACATCTGAATGGACTTCACCCATATCATGTTTATACTTTGCATGGCATTAGTCCAAGCTTTGTTACTATAGGTTTGTGTCAAAAATGCCTGTTCAATTGCAGAGAATACAACTTAAAATGATCTATGCTGGTAGGTTTGTATGCCAATAACAAACCATTATGTTGTTCTACCCTTATTGACTGATATGCACCAGTTGTGGGAATCTAAGTACAAACAAGTAAGAGTTTAAAACATGTATTCTATGTTATTCTCTTTAATTCAGACCTACAATAAAGATTCAAACAAAGTATTTCCATTGGTTAATAAAGAAGGCCATATTATGCTCCCTTTCCTGTAGTGTGTTCTATAGATTTTCATGTAAATGGTCTGGAAAGGCAAAAATCCCTAGCCTCATCCCAATACCCCTCCTCCACTCCTCCTTTCCCTCACTCGCTTCCCTTCCTTGCGTCTTAGCTCCGCCTCCGTAAGATGCGAGCGAGAGACACGAGGAGGTGACGCGAGGACAGAGGAGTCCTCAGGTATTAATTGGGATGTCCTCGTTCACTCAAACGTCACTTTTAAACGACGTCTGTTAATGATGACATGTGCACAGCTGTATCCCCTCTCATCGGGCTGAACTGAATAACCCTTTAGAACCGGCCCATTTGTTGTTAAATATTTATTTAAATGAATGAATCTTTCTCTTGTTAGTCAAGGAATTCAATGTATGATGNTTGATAACTTAATTGTTCTACACCTTGAGTTAAGGATTTCAAGTCCACTCCCACTTAACATGCCTGGACAAGTTCCGACAGTTAAGACAAATAGAAATACTATAGAAAGGACATTTTAAGGTGAGTGTCATCTTTTGTCTTTCAAATACAGTAGATAGCCTTGTAGTTAAATATTTAAATGAAGCTCAGTGCAAGTTCTTTCAGGAAGACTGGGTGTATGTGAATTCACTCCGCAGCTGCATATAATCAATTCATCACAGGCGTTCTCTTTAACCTATTACATTTCACCTCATTCTCCAACAGCCAATCAACGTGCTGCAGCCAAACTATAAAATGGTTCTCCTCTCTCCTGCAGTCAGCTGGGATTTCAGGTGTTCATGCACCTTATCATATGGCATGTGTGAATAAATGTTCAAACTAAATGAATTCTCTCCTGATTGAAACATCATGTGTTGAAATAAACAACTGCAGTTCAAAATAAAAAGTGAATTGCCTAATATTTTTGTTGTGGAATAAATTAGTTTCTTTCTTTAAAGGCAAAAACATGAAAAAGCTAAGAAAAAAAACTAATGAATACAGTATATTTGGAGCAACTTAATTTATAAACGGTTGTCAACTTAAAAGCGTGTGTTCACAATGATGGTAATCTAAGCACATACAACCTAAAATTCCTTTTAAATCATACGGTAAAACAAGTTGGAACAACTTAATTTTTGGAGTAATCAGCTTAAAAACTTGTATCCCGAATGAGGGTAATTAAGTACATACAAGTTAAAATCCCTTTTAAATCATGTGGTAAAACTAGTCGGAAAAACTTAATCTTTGTAAGTGGTAATTAAAAAATTGATTGTAGAGGAAAAGCCTTCTCCCTCAACTCAAATAACTTTGTTGCGTTAAGACAATTTCATTAGAAGTTCTCTTCACTCAATAAACATCGATGCAAACTGTTGCGTTGATTTTCTTTGTTGAGCCAAGGCATTTGTTTTTAGAGTGTTCATACGACCTAATGACAGGACTAATAGCGATTATTGAGCTGTAATGGAGTACTTCACATACAGAAAATGACAACATTTGAGACAAATAAGTTGACAAACAACAACAGATGTCCAAGAGAAAGAGAATACATAGAGTTCCTTAAGTTCCTTAAATTACAATGGGCAGAGTATTTTTCCCAAAATACTCTCAGCATGTATTTTCTCTGGTATTGATTCAAAATATTATCAGAACATACAGTATATAGCATTTCACATCAATATTGTAATTTCCATTTGGCAAATAAACCAACATTTATTGACTAATCATGTGTTTAAACCCAGAACAAATGCTCATGCTGCTCAGTTGAAACAGGACATTAAAGTGCACCTACTGTATCATGCTATTTTAAGGCAATAGCATAGGTCTCAGATTTATAAAAATATATAAAAAACATGTCTATGAAGTGTTTTGCTCAAAATACCAAACAGATCACCCATTATAGCCATGCCTCATATCCCTCTATTTCACTTCCTGTTTCAAAAGTGCTGATTTGGGGTATAAAGCCAAATTATTGTTTCTGAAACAGTATGGAGCTCAAAGGCTTTCTCTCTTGCCGGTTATACCACAAGGTGAGTTCCTTTGTATTTCCTGCTTCTTCACACACATGCTCTCCAGTACAGGTTAGCTCTGAGTGTTAGCGATGCTAATGTAAACACCGACCATATTACGTCCAAAACAGTCGGGCATTGTTTCTGATAGCAACGTTTCTGATTGGGCCGTGGTTGTAAAGCCAGCCTACATTTCCGATATTCGGACGCAAATCTGGATCAGCTCCGTTTAGAGATTTGGGTACGGAGGAAAAGAGAGAGTTTTTTATTTTCTGACGCTGTTTGAGTTCCCTGACTCACCGGGGACACATATTTATGTATAAAATACATCAAAAAGTGCATTTAGGTCCCCTTTAACAAATCCTCCCTTGAAATAGCCCCACTTTATTCATTGCATAACATAATACATGCAAAGCGCAGTGTAAAACATAAAGCAAGTTCAAGAGTGCTTGAGCATCTGATGGGATCCAACCGCAACAGCACTGTCTAGTTGACCACACAAATATTTGGAGTACGCAGTGATACTTGGCAGTCTCCTTCTCCATGAAACAGCATGCAAGCCACAGGTTGTGAAAGAATGGTAGGGGAATAAAATCAACTTTCCCAACGAAGAAAAAGTGTTGAAATGCATTTGAATGTTGTATTTTGGTGCACAAATGATTTATGAAAAATCCATGCTCAAATTTCCTCGCTGGTTTATCTCACCAGCATTGTTCAGTTCAGTCAAATCTCCCCTGGATATCAGGATTCACAGAGCTCTTTTGGTGGGCTGAGCATCTTAACAAGAAACATGCCATATGGCTTCTATGTCTTGGCCTGTTAAATCATAAAAGCCTTTCTAATCAAAGACATTGTGTCAAAGAAATACTGATTCCAGTTGTGGCCTGATGTTGGCAAGACACCCCGTTTCCTTCTTTATAGTCCTCTGCCAAAGCCTGAATAAAAAAGTCAGTGTTTTACAGCAAATTAGCACAAACTGAACTTCTAAGAGCATCAACGTCAAACACCTGCTCATGAACACCACCATCCGTACAGTATAGCTGTTAACAATTATGTATTATGTATGAGCCAGATGGAATTCAAAACAGACCACAGCCATGAAAGTACAAACAATATATGGAGGCGTGTGGCGCAGTGGACTATCTATCTACCCACTAGTTCAGGTTCAAACCCCACTGCAGTCAGCATGTCGTTGTGTCCCTGCAAGACACTTCACCCCAAATGGCTCCTGTGGGGATTGTCCACAGTATTGAGTATGTAAGTCGCTTTGAATAAAAGCATCTAACAAGTAACATGTAATGTCATGTAATATATTTCTCTCACTTACCCCTTGTTCATAGCCACGCAGATAGTTTTGTTTTTGTCCAGGCTTTGAGAAAATAAAGTCTAAGATGTACCACCAGCTCTACACAATAGAGGTTAATGGGAATAGGCTGTTGCTAAATTAAAACTAAAATAAGAGCAATTCATCAAATAGTATAGAATAGGGAGTTTAATCTGGACCGATGTGATTAAAGGGGCCATGTTATGCTCATTTTCAGATTTCATAATTGCATTGTGTGCCTCTATTGTGACATGTTTATATGATGTAATGTTCAAAAAGAGATGTCCCACCCTTAGCCAATCACGTACAATGTGGTAGAGCGCTAGGCAATAGAAGCGTGAGTGTAAGATAGTGATGTCACTATGTTACTGGAGGCGTGTTGTGCAGTGGGTTGTGCGTTGGTGTTCGGATCAGGGCAGCACAGGTTCAAACCCCACTGCAGTAAGCGTGTCGTTGTGTCCCTGCAAGACACTTCACCCCAAATTGCTCCTGTGGGGATTGTCCACAGTATTGAGTATGTAAGTCGCTTTGGATAAAAGTGTCTAACATGTAACATGTAATGTAATGTTACTAAAGTAAACAAAGAAGTCCAATGGGGGCCCCCTGCCTGGGAGTGTGTTGGAAAAACTCTCCTTCTGTCGTGAACTATGGGATTTTGGGCTTTGCAGACCATTTACGTGCACAAAAAACTTTATAACAGACTACAGGAAAGGGAAAACTAAAAAAACATAATAAGGACCCTTTGAACAAATGCTACAGTATATTGCCATCTCAAGAGTCTTGTCGTTAGCACAGCTAATAATGTGTCTTTCCTGCAACAACAAACAAGTTACTCTTCACTATCAACAGACTTTTCCTGTAGACAGTTTCATAATGTCTCTTTTAAAAGTGC